CTTTTTATAAAGCAAACTAGAGGCCTGATGCACGAAATTCGTGCGAGTACCTCAGCCCTCACAACCACGGTGGCTTCCTCAGCCCTCACAGCCCTGGCTTTGTCCAGAAGGTTGTCTGGAAGGTCATCCGGCTGTCCAGTCTAATTAGCATATTATGCTTTTATTATTGTTGGTAATATTTTGTGATGTGTCTATTTGGCCCTAAGTTTTCCTTTTATTTTTTTACTTCTAGAGTTTATTCATATGATCATATAAGTTTTTATATATAAAATTTTTATGTATTCATAAGTTTTCATGTATTACTCATATGTACAAGATGTACTTATATAAATCTTTGTAGAATATATATCATAGTACTTTATTCAAGAGGGCATTTCATACCTGATTTTTTTTTTAACATATCCTCAGGTGAGGAATTTTTCTTTTTTAAATTGATTTCAGAGAGAGGAAGAGAGAGGGAGAGAGAGAGAGAAACATCAATGATGAGAGAGAATCATTGATTGGCTGCCTCCTGCACACCCCCCACTGGGGATCAAGCCTGAAACCTGAGCATGTGCCCTTGACCGGAATTGAACCCAGGACCCTTCAGGCTGATGCTCTATCCACTGAGCCAAACAAGCCAGGGCCATACCTAATTTTTTGAAGATTAAAAAGATCATATTTGATAGAAAAGGGACAGAAGGAATCCAGTAGAAGGAAACTTTCTGAATCTTGTTCTTGTGGTATTTTCAAGGACTTCAGTAAATTGCTTTTATATAGAGAGTGGGATTTCTTGAAGGTAAGTGTAGTTTATTTGTATATACTTTAAAAGTGAAATTTCCTATTCATTAAATGTCAAAGTAATAGCATTATAAGAAAGATGGGAATGATATTTCAAAATAATAGACTCCCTATGTGTAGAATTTATAAAGCCTGAATGCTAATATTCTAGATTGAAAGAAAATTTGTTGCACCCCTTTTCCCCTAGTTAATTAGGAAAATAGCCATTTTATGCTGACACAAGTCAATTAGACTGTGAACTAGCTAAATTCTATAAACTAGCTAATTTTGTCAATAGCTGGAACATGTTGCTCTTATCTAGAACATTCCTCTGTGTGTCCTCAGACACGTCAGGAAGTGGGAAGTTCCTCTCTGTGCCTCTTATATTTTGTACGTGAGCCCAGCTTACTGTGTCACAGCATTTGCTGATTCTCATTTGTGAACTTGGGCTGTAAAATTGCTTCATATTGACCTGTATATCCTGGATGCCTATGATGGAGTTGTGTTTATAGGGAACAACAAATGTTTGTCAAAGGGAAGTTGGAGATGTTCATTCACATATTTATTCAGCAACACATTTATTTGCACATTGAATATATTATATGTAGGCAATAGAGTAGGCACTATTTTAGACCATGGGAATACTGTGGTGACCAGAACCAATGCAGCTTTTGCTCTCATTAGTCATATAATTCAGGAGAAAAACAGGCTTTGATACAAATCATTACAATAAGTGATAATGAGGATTGTGATAGGAAGCAAAGAATCCTACTGTAGGATCTGCCTTAGCAATGGGGACCGAAGGCTTCCCAGAAGAAGTGATGTTTACATTGGGACCAGATATGAGCTGGAATCATCCGGAAAGGGTTGGGAGAATTGTGGGGGAGGGAGGGTAGTGAGACCAGTAATAGGAAGTTTAGGTACTGAATCTTTATTTCAGGAATGACGGTTTCTCCCAATAGTGCTACTTGTTTGGCTGTTCATATTACCTAATGGAGACAAAGACTGTAATTATTGTTCAGTGTTTAAATAATCTTTCTCTGAGTATGACTCTTGTGCCAGTTGGTCAACATCTCAACTTGTTAGTCAAGAACACAATTCTTTTTTGATATATATTTAGCTTTAGTATATGAAGTCAAAGACAATATTCTACACAGGCTATCACAACTTTCCAATTCAAAATCGTGACAAGAAAAGATAAACTTTTTGTGCAGAATCATCTGCTCTCTAAATTTTGGAGGTCACTTTAATTTTTCAGTCTCCTAGCTGCAATTCTGACTTTCAGAAAAAGACATAAAAATCACCATTTACTGGTCTTGAAATTTTGTCATCTCTACTAGAAATTTCCTGAGAAAATAACAGCTAATACTTGAGTGCTTTCCATGTTCACCTATTGTGCTAAATATATATTATGAAATACATATAAGTAATATTTTATCCTTTTCTTATAGGTAAGAATACTACAAGTAATAAATGTCCAAGTTTCAAAACTAGAAGTGGTGGAGTAGAATCTCATCTCAGAAGTATCTGGTTCAGGAGCCTGAGTTCCTTACATGGAGTTGCTTAGGAGAGCTGAATGTGATATGTTAACATGCTGAGGTCGCCTCAGACCCTCTTCATAGGCTTTTTCCATTATGAGGAACACCATTCTTTGTTTAATAAAAATTATTTATTCCATTTTCTTTATGCTAAAGTTCATGAATAAGTGAAAACTAATACATTCATGGAGTACTGTGAATAAAATAGGCCCTTTCATATGTTGTTGGTGAGATGGCTGTATTTTGGAGACTTAAAACTCATTTGCTTTTTGACTCAGCAATTCTACTTTTTTGAATTTATCCTACAGCTAAATTTGATCATATATGCAAAGATATATGTCATGGTGGTTCTTTTTTGTTGTTGCTGTTGTTAATCCTCACCCAAGGATATTTTTCTATTGATTTTTAGGGAGAGTGGGAGAGAGAAACATCAATGTGAGAGAAACACATTAATTGGTTGCCTCCTGCATGAGCCCTGACCAGGGAGGAGCCTGCAACCAATGTATGTGCCCATGACCAGAATCGAACCCCAGACCCTTTGGTCCGCAGGCTGACACTCTATCCACTGAGACAAACTGGCTAGGGCTCATGGTTGTTGTTGTAGCATTGTTTAAGCAGAAAAAAGTTGGAAATGATTGTGTGCCCGGTAAAATAAGTATATCAGTAAAATGTGACCTTAGTCAAGTATTAATAAGAATAATACCAACTAATCAGTCTTCACTAAGTACTAAGCACTGCTCTTACTTATGCTCATTAAATTGTAGGTATTATTATTATTAGCTTCATTTACAGAGGTTAAATGACTTGTCCAAGGTGGTAGGACAGAGACACAAGCAGAATGGCTTCACAGCCCACACTGTTAATTACTGTGCTGTATGGCTCCTGGTCATCTGTATTCTAATGTGAAAAGAAAATAATTTGGTAAGGAAAATGAGGAAATTGTTGAAAGTTTTTATAGTATACCATTTATGTAAAGAATCTCTGTCTCTATCTTCTATATGGTCCATTTATAACAAATATCTATGTTTTCTTGTGACATAAAATCTCTCTAAAATATGTTCATATAAATGTGTTTGAATATATGAATATATTAATAAAATATACACATGTAAAACAAATATAAATATATACATATAAATACACATATCTACACACATATGCACACACACAAAATATGGAAACATTTCTGGACAGGTAGACAAGAACTTAATGGGTGTTTTGGGGGATTCGTATGGAGACTGAAAAAAATGTTCACTCTGTACTCTTAAGTATGGTGAATAATTTAAAACCAACGAGCACATATTGCTTTTATAACACAAGCTTAAATTGAAAAACTTAAACACTGGATGTGGTAGTTCTTAAGCAATTATGTTGTTGATTTTTGAATTAAAAGTATATTTTATTGATTTCAGAGAGAGGAAGGGAGAGAGAGAAACATCAATATGAGAGATAAACAGTTGCCTCCTGCATGTGCCCCAACTGGGGATCCAACCTGCGACCTGGGTATGTGCCCTGACCTGAAATCAAAACCATCACCTTTTGGTGTATGGGATGATGCTTTAACCAACGGAGCCACACTGGCCAGGGCTGAATTGTGCACTTTTAAAAATGAATGAACTCCAGGGGCAGGGACCATTTCCTCATTTTCTGAAAGCACGTTAATGATTCCTCTACCCCTAAACATCTCCCCCTTTCCAACCCTGATCTCTTCTAGCTTCTGCCCTTCCCTGGTGGAGGGAGGGAGCAGGGAGCTCTCGCCCCCCACACCCTCTTGCTTGCATCTGTATATAGTGTGAGCAGCAAGTAGCCCTGTTCCCTCCCTGCCCCTACCCCTCCTCAATGTAATGGCCTTGGATATCCCATCTATAATAATAAAAGTGTATTGTGCTAATTAGACCAGATGTCTTTCCGGACAACTTTATGGACGAAGCTGGGGCTGTGAGGGAAGCTTGGGTTCCAGGTGCCTGCCGGCAGCCAGAGGGAAGCTGGTGCCGGCAGCTGGGGGAAGGAAGGCCTACTTTTGCACGAATTTTGTGCATCAGGCCTCTAGTTTAATAAAGACAATTCAATCAGCTCTTTCTTGACCCCCCCAAAAAGAATGAGTATACATTGCTTTTATAATAAAGTGCATTTTAATGGAAAAGTTGTAATAATAGTGGACAGATTTATTTACTAGTTATATACTATGAAATATTATTTTTGTGTCTAGGTTTGGGATATGATTTATTTATTATATTGACAGTTTAGGATAAAAATGCCCGTGTTAAACTTTTATCAGAGGGTTGCTGTCTTATCTTAATCTAACATCCATTGAATTGGAGGGTAACTCAATGTAGGTTTACCTTATTCTGATACACAAGATTGTATCCAATTGAAGCCTTAGTAATGAAAGCTTTCAGAGAAATGAGATTCAGCAAATGCAGAAGTTGACAGCAATTTTACTAGACGTTGTTAGTCAATTGAGCACAATTTTCTTGCAGGAAAATGGTATCCTGCTTCTTAAATGACAGAGCATTTGTCAAACACAAATGTCAGTTTGAAACTGCATTGTTTATTTAATGAGACAGTGCTCCAGTGTCAGTGGACAGTACTTTAATATTATGCTTAGTCATGGAATGTGCTTGGGGTCAGGCTGGATGGTAAATGCTGACACAGGCATAGCTGAAACCTCACGCATGACTTACTTGGGGCTGTGTTTTTCAGGCGAAGCTCTGAAAGTATCAGCGGAGAGATTTGCAGATGACCCCTGCTACCTCCCCAAAAGGGAGGCTGTGGTTCAAGCTGCCCGTGCCCTGCTGGCTGCCGTTACCAGACTCCTCATCCTGGCAGACATGATTGATGTCATGTGTCTGCTGCAGCACGTGTCAGCTGTGAGTAAAAGATGGCTTCGTTTCCCTTGGCATTGCTCTCCCTTCCAATTCCATTCTCTGAACCTGGCCTCCGTCTTAGCACATTCTGGCCTCACCCTCATTTCTTAATGTCACCCACCAGAAGCTGACTGAGTTGAGCTTTGAAACAAATGTATATTTCAAAAGAACAAAGCCAAAAGAATAAAGCCAGTGGAAACTCAACAGCAGAAGATGGCTTATACATGAGGAAATGGCTAGGAGAAAATTCTAGGCTATTGACCACTTAAATTATGATGTCCTCTGTAAATTCATGTGTATAATAACATAATTATAGAGGTAAAGTAAATAATATGTATAAATATAAGTAAGTGGAAAAAGAAACTTTAAAACTTAAGAAGACAGTTGACGTTTATCCTAGTTTGTAAGTGAATATTACTTTGCCAGATCCTCTTGATTCAAGATAAACGGTGCATGTTGACAGGTATCTGTGATACCTGCAGTAATCCATTATGAAAATGTACAAATGGATTTAATATGTGTAGAGAATATATTTTAACTCAGTGACTGGAAAGGAAGCAAGATACCTGCTTGCTTTCTTTTGCTTGACAAACCCATTCATGAAGGTTTAGTAGAAAGAGAATTTTATTAAAGGCTTTTTAAATTTAGTTTGATCAAGTCAACTCACTAATAGTATCCAAATGAGAAGGATGTAAAGAACCTCTTGGAATCTCAGCTTGATCTTCTGCTTTAAAAAGGACCCCCACTCTTCTGTTCCTAAATACATTTGCCTGGTGACTGTAATATCACTACTCTATTAAACAAATGATGGCTTTGTCTGATTGACCTTTTTGTCAAAATCCTTTCTTCTAAAGGTTAAGCTAAACCTTTGCATCTTTATTTTACTCCCTAATGTTTATTTTAACCCAAACTAGAGAGATCTCCCCTTTTTACTTTCATATGCCTTTCTTTTTATAGCTTTATTACTGCAAAAAAGCAATTCGGTACTTCGTTTTGTTGTTTAAGTAGCTTTTAAGGAAAGGGAGTAGTTTTTATCACCAGGAGCTATCTACTGGTGGATTTGTAGGTGAGATAATTGAGCAATGTTTCTTGTTCCTTGGTTATTGGTTTATTGAATACCTTTAAAAAAAGTCCCTAAACATTTCTGAGTCGTACCAACTCCCCCCCATATGAGAATGTAGACACTAATAAATGCTGTAACCAAGAAATAAGTAGGCATGATTAAGTGCCAGGAAATTTCTAGTTCCAGTGATGCAATATTTGTTTATATTATATTTTATTTTTAGTTGTTGTTATTCTTCAACCGAGGATATTTTTTCCCACTGATTTTTAGAGAGAGTGGAAGGGAGAGGGAGAGACAGAGAGAGATAAACATTGATGTGAGAGAAACACATCAATTGGTTGCCTCCTGCAAGTGCCCTGACGGGGCCAGGATCGAACCTGCAAGCGAGGTACATGCCTTTGACTGGAATCGAACCTGAGACCCTTCAGTCTGCAGGCCAATGCTCTAACCACTGAGCAACCAGCTAGGCCTATTTATATTTTATATTCTAAATTTATTGAGATAGGGAAGACTGAAAGGCTTCTCTGAGGTAAAAATTTCCACCTGTATTATCAATTAGGAGATGACTATATTTACAAAGACTCCAAGCACCTTCACTACCACTTTACTTGAATGCCACTAACTACTAGGTCCAGTACTAGGCAATTCACACACATCATGTCATTTAAATGAAGTGGGAAGTAATGGTAAATCAAAGAGAGCATTTTTTTAGGATAAAAATTGTAGTTTATATTTATTGAATTTTTATAATGTGCGAAGCACTGTGCTGGATTATCTCCTTTAATTCCGTCCTCATAACAACTCTATGACTATGATTTCTATTTAAAAATTTTATTTTACAATTACAGTTCACATACAATATTATATTAGTTTCAGGTCTACACCCCTGTTATTAGACATTTATATAATGTCTGAGTGATCACCTGGATAAACCTAGTACCCATCTGACACCATACATAGTTATGACAATATTATTGACTATATTTCCTATGCTGTACTTTACATCCCATGATTGTTTTTATAACTGGGAATTCCTAATCCCTTCACCTTTTTCACCCATTCCCCCAACCTCTCTCCCATGTGACAGTTATGAATTTGTCTCTGTATTGATGAGTTTCTATTTATTTTGATTTTTAGATTCCACATATAAGTGAAATCATATGGTATTTGTCTTTTTCTGTATGACTTATTTCATTTAGCATACTACCCTCTAGGTCCATCCATGTTGTTGCAAATGGCAAGATTTCATTTATTCTATGGCTGAATAACATTTCATTTTATATATGTACTAGAGGCCCGTTGCACGAAGAGATTCGTGCAATAGGTCTTCCCTTCCCCTGGCTGCCAGCACCGGTTTTCCTCTGGCACCCAGGACTCGGGCCTTTGCTCCAGCTGGAGCCTTCGGTCCTCGCGGCTCTGGACGGAGCCTTCAGTCTTCGCTCCACTGCTTCGCCCCTATGTATGCAAATTAACCACCATCTTTGTTGGGTTAATTTGCATACTCCTGATTGACTGGTGAGCATAGCAGAGGGACAGTTAATTTACATGTTTGTCTATTATTAGGTAAGATCACATCTTTATCCACTTGTCTATCAGTGGACACTTAGGTTGCTTCCATATCTTGCCTATTGTAAATAATGCTGCAATATACATAGGGGTGCATATATCTTTTCAAATTATTATTTTGAGTTTCTTCAGACCAAGGTAGTTCTATTTCTAATTTTTTGAGAAACTTCTATATTGTTTTTCATAGTGGCTGTACCAATTTACAGTCCCACCAACAGTGCATGAGGGTTTTATTTTCTCTACATCCTCGCCAACATTTGTTGTTTGTTGATTTATTGATGATAGCCATTCTGACAGGTGTGAGGTGACATCTCATAGTTTTAAATTGTATTTCCCTGATGATTAGTGGTGTTGAGCATCTTTTCATATGTCCATTGGTCATCTATATGTTCTGTTTAGTGAGAGGTCTACTCAGGTCTTCTGCCCATTTTTAAATCACGTTGTTTTTTAGTGTTAAGCTGTATGAGCTCCTTATGTATCTTGGATATTAATTCCTTATCAGATTTGTCATTGGTGAATATCTTCTCCTATTGAATAGGTTGTCTTCTAGTTTTGTTGATTGTTTCCTTCACTGTGCAAAACCTTTTTAGTTTGATGCAGTCCTGTTTTTTCTTTTGTGCACCTTGCCTGAAGAGACATATCCAAAAAAATTCCTAAAAAACAATGGCAAAGAGTTTATTGCCTGTGTTTTCTTCTGGGAATTATATGGTCTCTGGCCTTACATTTAAGTCTTTTTAACCATTTTGAGTTTTTTTCTTGCATATGGTGTAAGAAAGTTATCCAGTTTTTATTTTTGCGTGTAACTGTTCATTGTTTATTGGAGAAACTATCTTTACCCCATTGTATATTTTTGCCTCCCTGGTCATAGGTTAATTGTCAATACAGGTGTGGATTTATTTCTGGGTTCTCTCTTCTGTTCCATTCATCTATATATCCGTTTTTTTTTTAATGCTAGTACCATGCTGTTTTTATTACTATAGCCTTGTAGAATAGTTTGATACCTACAACTTTGTTCTTTCTCAAGTTTGCTTGGGCTATTTGAAGTCCTTGTGGTTCCATATCAATTTTAGGATTTGTTCTTGTTCTATGAAAAATGCTGTTTTGGATAGGGATTTATTTCATTGAATCTTTAGATTGCTTTGGGTAATATGGACATTTTAATGATGTTAATTTCTGTCCATGAGCACAGTTTATCCTTCCATTTATTTGTAACTTCTTCAGTTTCTTTCTTCAGTGTCTTATAGATTTCTGGGTACAGGTCTTTTCTGTTATTGTATAAATTTATTCCTTGGTATTCTCTTTTAAAAAAAATGTTATTATTAATTTTAGAGAGGAAGGGAGAGGGAGAGAGAGATAGAAACATCAGTGATGAAAGAGAATCATTGATTGGCTGCCTCCTTCATGCCCCCTACTGGGGATCGAGACTGCAACCCGGGCATCTGCCCTTGACCGGAATCGAACCCGGGACCCTTTAGTCCGCAGGCTGATGCTCTATCCACTGAACCAAACCAGCTAAGGCCCTTGGTATTCTTTTTGATGCAATTGTAAATAAGATTGTTTTCTTTTTTTTATTTATTTTTATAAAATATGTTTTTATTGATTTCAGAGAGGAAGGAAGAGGGAGAGAGAGATAGAAACATCAATGATGAGAGAGAATCATTGATAGGCTGCCTCCTGCACACCCCCCGACTGGAGATCGAGCCCACAACCTGGGCATGTGCCCTTGACCGGAATCGAACCTGGGGCCTTTCAGTTCGCAGGCTGACGCTCTATCCACTGAGCCAAACTGGCTAGGGCAAGATTGTTTTCTTTTAAAAAAAAATATTTGTATTGATTTCAGAAAGGAAGGGGGAGAGAGAGAGAAACATCAACGATGAGAGAGAATCATTATTGGCTGCCTCCTACATGCCCCGAACTGGGGATCGAGCCCATAAGCTGGGCATGTACCCTGACTGGGAATTGAACCATGACCTCCTGGATCATAGGTCAAGGCTCAACCACTGAGCCACACTGGCTGGGTGACAGTGAGATTTTTAGTTTTAGATTTGCTACTTCATAGGTGCAGATTTCTTATACTGTTACCAAGTATAATTGAATCTAGAATGTCATTATGCATACCAATGGAGATTAAAACAGTAGTAATATGTTCCAAAATGAAAATAAACACCTGGAGTTTTTTTTTTTATTGATTCAGCCATGCTATGTCTTTTGATTGGAGCATTTAGTCCATTCACATTAAAAGTAATTATTAATAGGTATGCAGTTATTGCCATTTTATTGTTTTCTGATTGTTCTTGTTGTTTGTCATTGTTCCTTTCTCTTGCCCTCTTCTTTTGTATGTTGATGACTTTAAAAAGTGTTGTATTTGGATTCC